CATTGTAATATTTTACTTTGTCGTCCCATGCTGCCTTTTGAAATCTTCTATTCAACTCTTTAGTATCTTGAATTCTTCCCTCTGCTTTGGCTTCTTTGCGCTCCAGTGCAATTTTCAGAGTCTCTTCTGACATCCATGTTGGTCTTTTCTTCCTCTTCTGTCTTTGTAATGAATGTTTGTACTCTTCTTGCTTGATACCCTTGCTCATATTTAATAATAATATTTTACTTTGCTTTGTAGCCCTCATGTCAACTGACAACATCTCCAAAGATTCTGTTTCCCAACAAGTCCCATGGCCCAGGACTCCCAAACCACTGGGAAGACAGAGTTCATCGGCGGCAGCATGCCACTATGGCTGTATCAGACACTGTCGAAAGAGGTTACACAAGAGCTTTTTGTACTAGTTTTGCAACTTCTCATGAGTCTTAAACGCTTTTAAAAAGTTCTTTTTAAAAATCAAAACTCAATAGTAAAAGTAATTTTTCAGAACTAAGAATAAAAGGGTTTTTTCATTTTATACTGGTATTTACAAAGCTTGTATACATGTTCACTGCAGATCTTTCCCATTTCCTTCACCCTCACCTCCCTCCATCCATCAGACTGTAAGACCCTATGATCATCACCCTGCCCCTGTCCCCTGCCCATCCTCACCCCTCTGCTCTCACCTTTTCCCCCCTCAGACCTTCATATTCATTCTACAATAATGGTTTCATACAGTATTTGTCCTCATGGGACTAAGATAGCTTGCTCAGCATGAAGCTCTCCAGTCCCTCCCAAGTTAGATAGTGATTTACAAAAGCATTGCTCCTGTGTGCTGTGTAGTATTCTTTCGTGTGAATGTACCAAAGGATAGTGTTCTAATCAAAGCCACATTTTACTGGAGAAATCTGCTGTCAGTTGCCAAAGTGCAAAAGAAAAGTAAACCCTCAACAAGATATATTGAGAGGGTGACTGTAACAATGGACTTAAGCACATCTGAAGTAACGAGGATGGTACAGGATGGGGCGAGGTCCGTATCTATTGTTCATAGTGTTGCTATGAGTCACAATTGACTTGATGACAAGTAATAAGAACAATGTGTTTATGTAATTTGTGTGATAGAAAATAAAAATCTACAGATGAGTCTTTTTCTTAAAAATATAATAAAACTCTGTGGTATTTATAGCTATTTAAAACAAAACAAAGCAAAACAACCAACCAAAGGACTAGTGTTCTAGCACAGGTATTGTTAAGGGTTTTCAGTGCACATATGTGATAAAGAGCCAGTGAGCTTCTAGTTACTTTCCTAATTTTTAAATTCTTTGCAGACAATGGTGCCGGCAGACACCTCTTGCTACCCTGTCCTTCTCAGGCCCCCACAAGGCCTTGATGTTGCAACCAAGTATTTATGGTGGACATTTACCAAAGAATTTCACTTTTAAAATTTCTTGTGAGATTAAATTAAATCATGAAAAAAGCAAAGAGCTGTCTGGAGCAAAAGAGGGTAAAAAAGAAGAGATGGATAGAACGATGTCCATAGGATTAATGAGCTGATCAAACCTCGACCTCCATGAGACCAGAAGCACTGGATGGGGCCTGGCACACTCACCACTCAGAGGGAGAATTAAGTAAGTTAATACCTAATCAATTACAATGGCTAATCAGTGTACTTCTAACTATTAACCATGGTTAACAAGAGGACTGGGTAAGAGGTAAGGGTCTCCTGTGGTACGTATTCAGTACCACTGGTATTTTAAGCAATAAATAGGCAATCACATAACTGAAAAGGCCAAAGAGTTTCGGGTGAGGCTGAATCCAAGTGCTTCCCTGATGTTGCCAAGCCTCTGAGGTCTGTTCTCTGCCCTCAGCTACCACATTTTGCTGTACGGCACAACTAGAACCTCTCTGCTGTGGGCCCACAAAACAGCCACTTCCCATCTTCTGTCTTCACGTGGCACTACTGGGGCTACAGTTGGGGCAGGGAGAGTGTCCTTCTGCTTCCTCTCACCTTTTCAGAAACTCCAGAGGGAGCTCTGGTGGCCTAGCAGTAAGAAACTGCACAGCAATCACGAAGACACATGGTTTGAGACCTCCAGCTGCTTCACAGGAAAAGGAAGGGTATTCTCCTCCTGTGTGATTAACCGCCTCTGAAAATCTGCTAGAGGGTTGGTTCCAACTTGATGGTTTGTTGTTGTTATGTGCCGTCGAGTCATTTCCGACTCATAGCGACCCTATGCACAACAGCCCTAAACCCTGCTCTATCCTGTGCCAACTGCACCGCCTCTGACACACCCATCCCTATTACCCCAGTCCCCGAATCAATCCATCTC